GCTGCTCCAGTTGGTGAGGCCACGTGGAGACCTCTCGGAGGAGGGAGCATTTCTGTGACTTACAAATGGCCCTGCCAGCCACCATTGGCTTAGTTTCACCCACACCTCCCCCTGATAATTTCTCTCGCACTGACTTACACACAGAGTCCTCTGATTCATGCCGAAACTGGTTTGGCTCAGTGGATAGAGCGTCGGTCTGCGGACTGGGAGTCCCATGTTCGAGTCCAGGGGCAAGGGCATGTACATTGGTTGCAGGCACATCCCCAGTGAGGGGTGTGCAGGAGGCAGCTGATCGATGTTTTTAGCTCTCTATCTCTCTCCCTTCCTCTCTGTAAAAAAAAATCAATAAAATATATATTTTTTTAAATATTAGCAGTGGTGGGTAGGTCAAGGTGTTTAATAGGTTCATATTTAGCATTTAAAATATCATTTTAGCAATATCACCAATGTATAAGTTATGAACTAGAATTGTTTTTATTATTCAGGGTAACTGGTAAAATTCTGCTTTATCTGATTTTTAAATTTCCAGTCTGATTATTAACTTTATTTTAAGGAGATTAATTAAAAAATATATAAATGAAAATAATTTTAAGACAATCAGGTTGAAAGAAATAATGTTGTGAGAATTAATAATGTTTCATTAATACATTAAAAGACAAAAAACACAAAACATGAATTTTAAAAAAAGGTCAATTAGCTAAAGTAAAAGTTAAGCTGTGGCCAGTGTGACTCTAGGTGGTTAGAGCGCAGGCTCAATTCTCAGTCAAGGGCACATACCTGGGTCTGCCCATGGCCCAGGTCTGGGACACCTGTGGGAAGCAACCAATCAATGTGTCTCTCTCATCTCTCTCTCTCTCTCTCTCTCTCTCTCTCTCTCTCTCTCTCTCTCTCTCTCTCTTTCTTTTCTTCCCTCCCCCCACCCTTTCTACCCTCCCTTCCACTCTCTCTAAAAATAATGGGGGGAAATATCCTCGGGAAGATTAACAAAAATAATAATAAAATAAAAGCTAACATTCTTTGCCAAACAAGAGAGCATGAACCAAGCTAAAAGACAACCTACCACCTGGAGCAATTTCCCAACACATGTAGCCAACAAAGTCAGTCAATAAGAAGTCAAACAAATCAATAGTGAATATAAACAAATGATATGAGCATGTAGTTCCCGAAGAGCAAACCATTGTCCAATTAACACGGAAGATTTGTAGCCTCGCTAATAATCAGGGTGAATGCAAATTAAACCACAAAGAAGCTACCACATTATACTCCTGTCAGGGGCAAAAACACTGATGTGCGACATTACTGAGCATCAGGAAGGAAACACACAGCAGGACCCATATTGTCCCCTAACTCACAGGCCAGTCTGGGAAGCACTGCAGGGCTGAGTGGCAGCCTGAGAACGGCACAGGGACTGCACAGGTGGGCTCGGCAACCAGCACAGTGTTTACCAAGGTGGTTGCTGAGCAGCAGTATGACCCCTGGGAACTCAGGAGAAAGGCAAAGTCTCCACCCAGCCTAGGCTCTGCCTTGCTGGTGCATTTGCAGAGCCCTCCAGCGGGTTCTGATGTGCTCAAGCTGCAGAACCACTGCGCCAGAGAGACCCTCCCACTGTTCTCACCGGTGGGGCACGTCAGGACATTAGGGACATGGTCCTCGATCTTCTCCAGGAAGGTCCGGCAGACCTTGGTTCACTGGGACAGTGTCGCCGAGGGGCAGGGGACAGGGTGCAGGCGGTCAGGTTTCCTCAATGCACACATCTGCACAATGAGGTGCATACAGGGGTGTACATATAAAAATAAAACTTATACAAGTTAAACAGCTGCCAGCAGAAGAATGGGTGCAATGATACATCACACAGAGGTTAAGATCAACGAGGCTGTATACACGGATCAGCAGGGGTAAATCTTGAAAATATGCTCAATGAATAAAAGCAAGTTGCAGAATGACACCTGTATGGCATGATACCATTTAAGTTCAAATCTCACCCGAAAATTGATCTTCTTTTGCGTAAGTAGACATTTGTATGAAAACACCAGGGAAGTCCACTTGCTCACCTGTAGATAAGGATTATATGTGGGCAGGAAATGAAAGGAATGGGATGGAGGAGTGCAAAGAGAACGCCAACTATAAGCTTCAGTGTTTTAAAAGCTATCGCACACATGGTAAAAGGTGAATATGTGTTAAATCTGGGTTGGGGTAAAAGATATGGCTTATATTAACGCATACTCTTACACATATTTGGAGAACTTTACAATTTAAAATTTTAAAGTAGTACATTCATTATAGTTGTGAATGCTAGAAAACCTTATTTCTGTACAAACAGAAATCTTTCAAAGCCACAGCCTCATGAGATAGAGCTTCCTCCCAACTCCCACTTTATTGAAGTATAATTGATGCATAAAAATTGCATGTACTACTTGATGTACTACTTGATGTTTGGTATACATATACATTGTAAAATTATCACCACAATCAAGCTAATTAACACATCCACTTCACAGAGTTACCGTTCATTTTATTGTGTTTTATTTGTGGTAAGAACACTTAAGAGCTACAAGAGGCAGAACTTTTAAAAACTGAATCTTTGCGACATCTAGTGGTAGCAGAAATAGGTACAAGGGAATACAATTAGAAACAACTTTTACTCAATTATTATTGATATCTGAATTCTAATTGTCACAACATTTAAAAGCTTGTGCTTTTATTTTTATTGTTTTCGGTGGTCTGTACTTGAATATTTTTTATTAGGATGACACTTTGGAACAGGTTTCTTTTTTTCTTTTTCTTTTTAAATATATTTTATTGATTTCTCACTGAGAGGAAAGGAGAGGGATAGATAGCTAGAAACATCGATGAGAATCATCGACCAGCTGCCTCCTGCACACCTCCTACCAGGGATGTGCCCGCAACCAATGTACATGCCCTTGACCGGAATCCAACCTGGGACCTTTCAGTCCAGAGACTGATGCTCTATCCACTAAGCCAAACCGGTTTCAGCTGGAACAGGTTTCTTCTTACGTATATTTATGTGGTTCAGCCATGGTCTCCTGAAAATGTCTGTCAGTTCTGGAGTCCCCCAAACAATACCCTGCTCCTCCCCCTTCCTCTTCCTCTCTGGGTCAGTGAGAGCAGCAGGAAGCAGCTCTGAGCTTCTCCTGTACATACTGCTGTACACCCAGCTGGCCAGTGTCCCTCCCTGCCTCAGACCTGTACCTCTGCAGGATCTTTCTAATCCATATATGGCCTCCTCATTGTGCCAGATCCCAAGCTCTTCCTCTCTATATCCTTTACACCCATACAGTCAGTTTCCAGGTCAACCTGTGGGAGGTGTCACACCACCATTGTTTATTCTATCCCCACTAAACTGTGCGTGGCTTGAGAGTAGAAAACATGCTTTGCACATAAGTCCCCCCTGAGAGCTATTATAGTTCCTGGCATGTACCAGGTACACAATTAATGTTCACTGAGTGAGTTTCCACTTCAATGGACCAGTGTGCACAGTGGGTGGTGACCAGAGGGGCCTTCCTATTGGGTTGGCTCAGTGAGAACCTCAGGATCTCTGCATAACCCTCAAGTTAGGGCAAAGCAGATAGCTTTACAATTCTCACATTGGAGAACCCTTGCAATGGCCAAGAATAAATCTTCCACTAGCCTTGCAGGATAAGTACATTGATTTCCTTAAAATTAAGCACGATGCTTTCTTTACTCTTAAGCTTTTTTTTTTTTTTTTCAGAGAAACAAAAACTGTGGGAATTAAAGAATAATGAAATGGTTACCTCTGTTCTTACTCCCTAGCCTGAGAAATAGAACATAATTAGTAGCTCCACGCTCCTCATGCAGCCCCTCACCCTAGAGGGAACCATTGTTCTGAATTTTGCGTTAATGATTCTTTGAGCACATAAATGTACCCCCAGGCAAAATATTTAGCTTTCCAGTGTTTTTCTCACTTTTTATGAATAGAATAACATAGTAACTATTTTCTCCTATTTCTCTTTTTGAGGTTCAGTCATGACACTGCTGCTGTACTTGAATGGTATGAGTGTAGCACCCTTTAAGTATCCACACGTCTGCTAATAAAGACTTAGATGATTGGCAGGCATTGGCTATTGGCAACAATGCTCCTATGAATGTTTCCTAGGTGTCTTTCCGTGAACACATATAAGCGTTTCTCCAGATTGTACACTGTGGAGTATGTTCATGATCAACATTTCTAGGTAATACCTAACTCCCTTGCAAACTGGCTTGACCCATTCATAGCCCTGAATGTATGTGAACTCCCATATGTCTGCCTCCTTAGAAGATTTGAGATGGTCAGAATCTAACCCAAAAGGAAAAAGGAGCCTCTTCCTGGCATTTGCTTCCATGCCTACACCCTATCTTACGGGACAGAAACACTCAGAATGCAGATCTGGGAGATTTCTATGCCGGGAGCAACGTGCTCCCTAAAGTTCAAGGCTAGGCCTGAAGTTCCCAAGGGGCCTGTAGGGACCACAGGCCACCCACCCCTCCAGGAGGCACTCGCATGGCCTGTATCCGGCACAGTCGCCCCTGGTTATTGCAGAAATGATGCTTCTCTGTGTCCTTACCCATCCTCGCCCCATCATTGAGCCTGGAGTCTGTGGTTCTACGAAGCATCACTTCCGGAAGCATCACTGCTAAGTGAACTGGGGAAGTCTTTGCAGTTCCCCAGGAGGAAGTGCCACCTCAGAGGCTGCTGGATCTTCCTGAGCCCCACAGGGCAGTGCCTTCCTCTTTTCTCAGTGACTATCCTCTCAGGCAGCCTCCGCCTCACATTCTTTCAGTTTCTCTCTCATTTGCACCTTTTGGTTGTTTGGGGATTTATCCTGTTCTCTCGATGGAATCATATGAATAGCAAGTTGCATAGCAGTATTTTAAGACCACTATTTATAAAGCTGGCTTGGGGGGAGTTCAAGTTCGAGAGCAAAAACTACAGTTGGATACTTGGTATTTTGAAAAATTTATTACTCTTAGCTTGGTTGATTCTACAAATCTTGATCGATGTTTAATGCAACCTAAAAGCAAAATTTAAAAAAAAGGTTTAATACAAGCAGAACAGCGGAAGTGTAGAAGTCAAAGAAAATGGAGTGCAGGAGATTTCTGTGACTATGTACACTTCAAATTATTTTTCGTAATTTCAAATTATTTCAAATAAAATCCAAATTCAACATACCTATGCACAGAGGGCTCACAGCTACCTCCACCCGAGCTTCCAGTTACTGCCCCCCACCCCCCACCCCCGGGGTTAACATCTCTGGAATGAGCCAGACGTGTGCCCACCCTCGCCTGGGGGCCAGCTGTCCACATTCACAAAAGGGCAGAGGGCCAAGCATGGGTACGGTCAGCACCTATTAGGGAACTGGTTTTCTTTCTATGGAGCAAAGGACAGATTTGCCAACCAATCCTGGTGTCACATGCACAGGCTTCCCACAGTGAGAAGATCTGGCTTTCACCAAACCGTCCCGTAAGGACACTCACATCCGACAGGACCGGCTCATCGAGCTCTTCCACCCGGCTCAGGTTAGGCGCCCCATAGCGGTCACTGATCTCCGCCAGCGTCTTGGCTGCTGCTTCAGCGGCTGCTGTTGCTGCTGCCTCCTGCAACCCAAAGCTCATTTTTACCTTTAAAGGGCAAAGTGAGTACACCTGGGCAGAAACTTCTGAATTACGACGTCAAAATTCAGCATTATTAATTAGGGGAATGAAGCACTTTCCGTTCATGACAAGAGAATTCTAGAAATAAACGCTAACCTTGCATAAACATATATTCAGAAAATTCAAATATGTCACTGTAAGTAATCACGTGGTCAATTTCTCACATTATTCTGGTTTTTAAAATTTTTTAAAAATATATTTTATTGATTTTCCACAGAGAAGAAGGGAGAGGGATAGAGAGCTAGAAATATCAAAAGGGATAGAGAGCTAGAAATAATTTGAAATTGGAGAGCTAGAAACATTGACCAGCTGCCTCCTGCACACCCCCTACAGGGGATGTGCCCGCAACCAATGTACATGCCCTTGACCGGAATCGAACCTGGGACCTTTCAGTCCCCAGACCGACACTCTATCCACTGAGCAAAACCGGTTTCAGCTCACATTATTCTGGTTTTTAAAAACACAACTGAATGTCCAATTTTTATCCACTTTGAGATTTTGCTTTTAAATTTTAAGCACACCTTATCTGTGGCTTATTATTACTAGAATTTATATCTGGCCTATCAATTTTGATAATTTCCTCATTAAAAATTTAGCTACTAATGCATCAAAATTAAGCTTTAAATTCCCAGATACTCATTTATTTCACAGAACATAGAATAACTTTTTTTCTCACCTCTGAAAGTATACCACCTTCACCCTTAGCTATATTTTCCAGATTCATTCTCATCTATAATACATAAAAAAAGGAAAATACTTTGAATATGCTTTTCATTTTGGTTACATGTTTACTTTTCAAGCATGTTTACTTTTACAAAATGCCATGATAGATTTAACAGTGAAAACAGTATCACTCTTAAAGAAGCGATTTGAACACAATTAATACAAAACTGCCAATCAGTCTCATTTAATACTCTACACTAATAGATGACCATGTTTTGTGTATAATTAAATACAATTTTTAAAAAATGAAATGGGCTGAGCACCAAGCCTAAAGTCAGATTATTAGCATGCATAAAAAGTGACAAAACCAAAAACGAAATAAGCTCTTAGGAGATTTTAGAGAGAACTTGCCGTTAAGTAGAACTGTGCCCACAGTAAGAAAGAGGTGAATATTTCTGAAGGAACTAATGTGGCCATGTTCTCATAGGACCCTGCCCCTGGCCAGAGGATGAATACCTGACACAAATCAAGCCAGACTCCTTCCCAAGATGCTTTTCTAAACTGAAACCAAAAAGGAATCCACTCTTCTGAGATGGCAGGAGCCACAACATGAGTCCCGAGAGCTTTTAAGGACCAGGTGCCTCCCCCACGTGCAGCGAACCAGGCCAGTGAGAGAGACTGAAGCCCAGGCCAGAGAACAGCAGAAGTGAGAACCCACATAGCATGTGGTTCTTGGGCTCCCAAGTGTCCGGAAGGCCCAATTGTACTAGAGCCCCACACAGTTCAGCTGTAAAACCCTTCCTTCAACCCAGGAGTCTTCCAACAAATTTCCTTTTGCAAATGACAGTATCTCTGCAGCCACTAGAAGGCAGAGGCGAACAGACAAAAGGACTCATCTCCGAGCAATGGGTAAGGCAGGGGTGCTTTGAGGGGTGCTTACCCCTCACGGTAAGGTGAGAGGTGGTAAGCAGTAGAAATATGGATTATTGAAGTTATTGTGGCTCTGGTCACAAGGTCTGACGATGCCGGCAGATAGTAAATAGTGAGTGCAACCCTTATGGAGCCACAGACAGATTGGAAACCCTCCTATAAATCATAGACTTTCAATAAGTCAAGTACACTGAGTGGCCAGATTATTATTATCTCTGAACGCATAATAATCTGGCCACTCAGTGTATATCCTATATAATAAAAGGCTAATGTGAAAATTGTCTCGTCGACCAGGAGTTCAACCAGCAGGCAGGCCAGCCAACTGCCCATGTCCCCTCCCCCTGGCCAGGCTGGCCGGCCCCCACTCAGTGTATATGTGTGTGTGTGTGAGTGTATTGAGTGGCCAGATTATTATGCGTTCAGAGATCATAATAATCTGCCCACTCAGTGTGCGCGAACCCTGAGAAAAAAAGACATCTAGTAAGAAGGGCTTTTGGTGGCTAATGGAGCTCAAATTTTAAAAACAGAGCCTAGAAGCCATTCCTGCACAGGGGCCTCTCATGCAAACTGCACTTCATGAAGCTGGTGCTGAACTGTGTGCCTCTGCACAGAGCTGCCTACCTGCACTGTGAACGTGCTCAGGATGGTTAAGTGGTTAAAGTGCAGGCTCGATTCTTGGTCAAGGGCACATACCTGGGTTGTAGGTTTGATCCATGTCCCAGTCTGGGACGTGTGTGTATGTGTGTGTGTGTGTGTGTGTGTGTGTGTGTATGTGTGTGTGTGTGTATGCATATCGATGTGCCCTGTTATACTCAGACTAAGCATCCGCGTTTATATATTTTAAAATTATGTATTAGGTTTTGAATTTACCCTTTTAAAAACTCATCTTTTTTGTAGCCAATTCACTGTCCAACTTGTTAAAACTTATTTTAAGTAATGATGCTCTCATTTAAGCTGCTAATATACATATTCTGTAAAACCTGTTTCTGAATGTTTTTTTATTATGGAATAGAAGAGTAACATTTACATAACAGACATGGCTATAAGCATACAATATGAAATACCTAGTTGAAAAGTATAACTCAGTCACTCAGAAGTTGGTCTCTATGTCACATACTTTGAGGAGACCAGGAAACACTGGCCAAACTAGAGGCTTAACATTTTATATGAACACAATAACCAGAGATGAACTTTTTATTTAGCTACTGCATAGTTTATTTACTAAAAGACATGAAAAAAATCCATAGTAACAACATTTAAATGTAAATTATTATTGATACTACATCTAACATAAAAAAGAGATTCATTACTATATCAGAGTTCAGTATATATCTCAATATTACAAAGAGCTTGACCTTAAACATCAATCACTATAATTAGAAACAATCAACTCTTAACTAACGTTGATATCACCATTACAGTATTATTACTATCACTATTATAAAACAGCTCACAAAGCAGTTTTGCACACACAATCTTATTTGATCTTAAAATGATCCAGTAAGCTATTGCTAATAATAATAAACTGTTATCTCTATTTTCCCAAAAGGTAAACTGAGATTAAGAAGGTTCTAAGACTTGCTTAAGTCACACAGCTGTGTGGCAGGTCTTTGGACTATGAATCCCATGATACAGAATTGAGAAAAAAACAGACAATTACAAAACTTCAAATTACCTTCTCTAATTGTTCTTGAATTCTCAGTTGTTCTATTCTCTGCTTCTCTTTCTCTTGCATTTCTAACTCCATCTGTATGGCCAGCTGTTGCTGAATATTCAGGGGGAAAAATAAGTCATGTTAGAGTCAGATCAATTGCAGGGAATTAACTCTATCACTCTCAAATGTCCTAGGATAATTAAGTTTACACCCACCTAAATTTCAAAGACTTCCAAAAATAAATGACCACCTAATACTTTGGTTTTTACAAATATTTCCTGAAATATAAAATAAAAAAGGAAGCTTCCTTGCTAATTTAGAAAAATACAATATGTACAAAATCAAGTCATTTTCTCTGTTTTTCTTGAAGCAACAGATGAGATTTTAATAATTTTTTCAGGTAAAATCTTGTTAAGCATAGCTGGATTGGTCTTCAAACAACCAAAACTTGATGAGAAACTCCTAAGTAGACTATCTGAAATTATTGATAACCAGCAATATATTTGGTCCCAACTCAACATATATGCCGTATTAGCATAGGGTCAGCAAACTAAATTGTGTGGGCCAAATCTGACCCAACTCCTGTGTTTGCACAGCCCTAAAGCTAAGAACAGTTTGTATATTTTTAGATGGATGAAAAATAAGAAATAAAAATAATAAAGATCACGTGAAATTCAAATGTCAGTGACTCTAAATGAAGTGTGATTGAGATGCTGCCTTGGTCACTCCCTTGACTACCTGCTTTTGTACTACAACCGCACAGTTGAGCAACAGAGACCATAGGGGGCACTCTCATCACTTTGCATCGCTGCTCATCACACTCCAGCTCAGTCTCTCTCTCTTTTTTTTTTTTTTTTTTAATATATATTTTATTGATTTTGTACAGAGAGGAAGGGAGAGAGATAGAGAGTTAGAAACATCAATGAGAGAGAGTCATCGATCAGCTGCCTCTTGCACACCCCCTACTGAGGATATGCCCGCAACCAAGGTACATGCCCTTGACTGGAACCGAACCCGGGACCTTTCAGTCCCCAAGCCGACGTTCTATCCATTGAGCCAAACCGGTTTCGGCATCCAGCTCAGTCTCTTGATTATACCTCAACAGTTTCGCAGGGCCACGGTCTCACTTAGTGCAATATTTATTTTTAATCAGTGTATACCCATCATGTAAAGACAAGAAGTGAATTTTGAATGCTGTCCTTTTAAAGACACAGTAGAGAATGGATTATTTAATATCAAATTAAATGACAAAGGATCGTGCTGGTTTTGTTTTGTTGTGTGTGTTTTTTTAAGTATATTTTTATTGATGTTTGAGAAGAAGGGAGAAGTGGGGAGAGAGAGAGAGAGAGATAGAAACATCAATGATGAGAGAGAAACACTGATCGTCTGCCTCCTGCACACACCACATTGGAGATCGAGCCCTTAACCCGGTCACGTGCCCTTGACCTGAATCAAACCCGGGACTCTTCAGTCTGCTGGCTGACGCTTTATCCACTAAACCAAACCAGCTAGGACAAGAATGGTGTTTTTTAAGTAGTGGAGACTATACTAAAAGAATACAGTAAGTATTATATATTACCAGGTTAAGCACTCATCACAACATTATCGAGCAAAGGTCAGAAATATTTTAAAAGTTAAGACAATTATTTCATCACATCAGAATTTCTTTACAAAATGAAAAATGAAGATGAGGCTGCCTAAAAATAAGTTTCTAAGTAGTCCATTTGTTAGTCGAGTAAAGAAACATATTTTCTAAGCAATATTTAATTACAACATGCTTGATTTCAGTGTCCAGAAAAACAAGCTTGCTTAACATTTTTAGCCTTTGGCTGAGTGTTGCTCACAAAGCTGGTGACGTTGGGAGTGACATCAACAGTCAACTGAACACAATGGTTCTGAGTGGTTGTTTTTAGCTCTTGATGAGTAGACAAATGTTCCCAACGCTGCTCAGTTGTTGTTTACTCAGGGGGTCAGGGATGAGTTTGAAGTGACTGAAAAATCAGCCACTGTGAATTGTTTTCATGGGACAACTACAAGCAATCATTTCTTCATAGAAGCCGAGAAACATTAATTCAGTATAACCAGAAGTGAAATCTGCTATGATGTGTTACAACAAATGATGATAACCATATGTGTGGAACAGAAAAAGGCTTAGTTGGACAAATTTGCAAAGCTTGTGAAAATAGTGTTTAAAGCCTGTGAGGATTCATTGTATTATTCAGCAGCAGCTTCTATGCAGAAAATACTTGAATCGATTGTTATATTGTAAAGCAGCAAGAAGAACAGGGGATGCCTTATTAAACCAAATTTTGCAGTCTTTTATTACTCCAGCAGGCTCAGAGGAATATTGTTTCCAGAGTCTAATCAAAAAACATGGAGGAAGCTTTCTCTTTTTATATTCTCCCAGTTCTTTGTCTCCCAAGTATAGGATTATATTTCTAGGCCTCTCATGGGCTTTGCTTGTAGCCTGAGGTTGTAACTTGAGCATGGTACATTTCAGATAACTGGGGCATGGGAGTAGCCAGAGCTGCTTTCCAGGTCAGATAGTTGAGCTTATTCTCCCCATTATCCAGGTAAGCAAGGGTGTTTTACAGAAGCCAAGAATAGCAGGATTAAAATTTCAAACAGCAGTTTTTACAGAATAGAAGAAGCATAAACAAGAAGGCCTATGCTTCACTTTCACGCGTACTGAACCAGTAATGTCAACAGTGTCCTACATTCACTCTTTTTTTAAAATATATATTTTATTGATTTTGTACAGAGAGAAAGGGAGAGAGATAGAGAGTTAGAAACATCGATGAGAGAGAGTCATCGATCAGCTGCCTCTTGCACACCCCCTACTAGGGAAATGCCCGCAACCAAGGTACATGCCCTTGACCGGAATCGAACCCGGGAACTTTCGTTCCCCAAGCCCACGTTCTATCCATTGAGCCAAACCGATTTCAGCCCTACATTCACTCTTATGAACATCATCATCAGTCCTGTGAATTTTTGTCAGAAACAGAAGCTGAACAAATCTTGACTTTCCCTACCACACTAGTTTCCTGGCTTAACAGTGGGAATGCTTTACTATAAATTTTTACTATAAATGTTCCAAGATGAAAAATTTTCTGAATGAGAAGAACCATTCATAACCACTATTATAAAATAAATAAATAAATAAATAAATAAATAAATAAATGGCTCTGGCCATTGGCTTTTTGCTGCAGACTTAATTTTTTAAAAATAAATTCAACTTAAATTATAAGGCAAAATGGTAATTATATGTAAAACTTCTATTGCAGAAAAATCATTTCAACAATTAATGTGTGGCTCCCAATGTCAAGCTGCTTTAATATACTTCCAGTGCTGCCCCAAAGAAATCCAACAAAATAAGGAAATAGGCCTCCAACTCCCACACAAAGGTATATATTTTCTAAGCACAAACTGTAGCTCTAGAGTGTTTGTAAGCCATGATGTAAGTAAAAAGGAAATTCCCATATTTCAAAACCCATTTAACTGTGTAATGAGAAGCTCTTACCTTCAACTGGAAGTGATTAATCTACAAGACAATGAGATGCTAAAAGGGAAATATCAAAAGAATTCTACAAATTGCTTCCAAGAGATGAATATGCTCAAAATTATATGTACATGGATTGGTATCAATATTTGGCAGGACCTATGTGTGAAAAGATACTTTCAAAGATAAATATATAAAATCTCATTTCAGATCAGCACTAACAGATAAACATTTTCTATCAACTTTGATGATAAGAACATTAACTTTGAACTTCAACTAAACAAAATGTTCTTTTTATCAAAAGAATTTAATTCTGCCGAAACCGGTTTGGCTCAGTGGATAAAGCGTCAGCCTGTGGACCGAAGTGTTCCAGGTTCAATTCTGGTCAAGGGCATGTACCTTGGTTGTGGGCACATCCCCAGTAGGGGGTGTACAAGAGGCAGCTGATCGATGTTTCTCTCTCATCGATGTTTCTAACTCTCTATCCCTCTCTCTCTTCTTCTCTGTAAAAAATCAATAAAATATATTTTTTAAAAGAATTTAATTCTTCTCGGTAGTAAGCTTATATCACAAAAAAATCTATTCAAATATTATTATTTATTTCATCAATAAAACATTTGTGGAAATTTGTTTTCTAGCTTGCTATATCTACATAATACACCATATTACCTATATAATATCTTCAATTTTTCCTCTAGAGTATCTACTTTGCAGAGTTTGTCAACCTCTAAGCCAGAAAATAAATTCTCACCATCAATCCAGCGCTACCTAATAAGCCCATCCTATTGAGCATTTTAAAACTACATTTTAAAAATAATATACTTTAATGAACAGCGATTAATACTTATGCACAAAGGACTGTTAAGAGTAGTGTCTTCACATTCCTATATTCTCCCCACTAAGATAAGTAGCTGAAACGCAGGAACATGTCATTCAATCAAAATTCAGACATTGGTAGAGGAAGTGAAATGACTAAACTCTCAACAATAATGCAAAGTGAAGTTGTTAAATACCAACCAATGTCTTAACATTCTCAGGAAATTTTCAAAACCCAATTCCTTTCTTCACACAAAGAAAGTAAAATCATTAGAAAGATATTCAGACAAAACAAAAAAAGCTTTTGCTTCTAAAATAAGTTCTTTAGTAGAAAACAGCAATATAATTATTAGTCTGTTCACAAGGACTTGGGCTTGCTGGATGGTACCTAACTTTTCAAGTAATTTCAAGTCAGTATTATTACTATGAGAACACCTGCTCTGGCAATCAACAGGTAGGTGACCGGAGATCTGGAACCCCAGCTCACTTGTCTCAGGGGGTATGGAGAGGCCTCTCTGTTTCTCTTCATCTCAGCCTCACTCTCTTAAGCTTTTCTCTGTTGGCCCATCTCTCCATTCATCCCTTCTCCTCCTTTCATCCGTGTCTGCCCACCAATCCACTTATTTGACCATAAAATCTTTTGCAGAATATTATTTTATCTTTCACTCTCAATGCAATGCTTAGGTTTTAATACACAACGAATTGCTTTATACTGATCAACACGATGCAGCTAGAGAAATGTTTGATTACCAGTATTGATAAATTTTATCTAGGTAAGATGAAGTCGGTGAGTTCATGACAGTTAGGTATCTTCTCATTCGTGGTCTAAGTTGTCTTGGGGGAAAAACTGCTGAGTTCTCCTTATTCTGATAGATGGGGGACAGACACCAGCCATAGGAGCTAAGAGGAAGGGCAGGTCCTCACTCACTGGAGCTACTGCAGCAGACGTGTGTCTGCTTGGACGGTCGTTTGATGTCCAACTCAACCGTTTGCAACTTCCCCACAACAATAAGCCAAATGACTGAAAAATGGAGGCTCATAACGATAATATTTTCAACAGCCATATCCATCAAAGGTGCCTAGAATGTTCTACCCACTATGAAGAATGGGAGATTAGATTTTTTTAAAAGCTATTTTTCATGTCTATATTTAACTTTTTAGCTACACACCCAAATACTAGTAATTGATTTCTTTCCCTTTTTAAATGCATAGACCTGAGTTAAGACTCTAGAGTTAAGTATTATAAGGTAGAACTATAGAGGTGACTTAGGTTTAGTTGAGTCTCTCTCCATAAATTAAATTAGTCTAGACACCACTCTGGAACTTTCCCCTAGACAGGGGAGAAATACTGACCCATCTTCCAACCATTCTCTTACCAGCATTTCCAGTTCCTCAATCCTGCTATCCCAACCTCTTCAGTCAAAAGGTCTCCTACATGCAGAAAATCACATAACTCACAAAGTCACATCAGATGGAAACTATAAATGCTTGGTCTCCAACAATATCAGGGTACTCGATGCTACCAAGTAATGCCAAGTTTCCCTGATCAACTCTCTGCGACTCTCAAAGCAACCAGTTCAAACCCTTCACTGCTCTCCCCACCTGATTTACCACCTCATTCTTGAAAGATGATCATGATCCTACTTCATAAAGCAGAAAATCATACAGAAACTGCTTTGTGTCACAAAACCGACACACGCGCATGTACCTACACCATCCTCTCCTCTTCCCTTGAATCAAGGGATCAACGAAGTGCCCTTCTACCTGCCTAACCTATGTTCCAGGCTCAATTTCCTTTTTTATCCATGGAGAGCTGACTCTAGAAATCATCCCCTCTATTTCTTATCAACCACTCCCATTCCACTATGTTTCTTTAAAAAGAAAAAGAACAACCGAGACCGGTTTGGCTCAATGGATAGAGCGTCTGCTTGGGGACTGAAGGGTCCAGGGTTCGATTCCGGTCAAGGGCATGTACCTTGGTTGCAGGCATATCCTCGGTGGGGGGTGTGCAAGAGGCAACTGATTGATGACTCTCTCTTATCAATGTTTCTGGCTCTCTATCTCTCTCCCTTCCTCTCTGTACAAAATCAATAAAATATATTAAATAATAATAATAATAATAAAGAAAAAGAAAAAGGGAAAAATAAATCTCCTTCCCTGAAAATCTGCTCGAAAGCATTACCAACACTCACCCTCCCCATACCCACCCCACCCACACTGCTCCCACCAAAGTCCCGCTAGTGGCCTTGAGTGAGCACTTTGCAGGCCTGCTCCCACTCAGCCAGCCTACAGGTGGTTAAGCAGGGAGGGCTCACTAAGACACTCTCCCCTTGGCTTCCATGAGAGCCGGCTCTGGGTTTCCCTCTGCCTCACTGCTGCTTCTCCAGCGAAGACACCGCATGCACAGAGACGAAGATATAAGAAAACCAAATGTAAGAAACCAGGGATGGGGAGTCTCAGCATGTGGGTTGCACGGTGCTGAGGCTGACACTGCTAGTTCCGCGGCCTCTGGCCTCCTCCCTTGTCTCACCTGCTGAAACAGGAGTTCCTCCGCTCTGAGCCTCTCCTGCCGCTCCTGCTCCAGCCGGGCTAGTTCTCTTTCATGCTTCAGGTCGGCTAATTCCTTTTGTCTCTACCATCGGTTAAAAACAGTATCACATAACTAATTAGCACAACTTGCAAAAACAACTTGGGAAGCATCTTAATCACCAACAGCTGGGAAAGGATTAAGTATAGTCTATTCGAAAACTGTATAATAATTTGGGAAAGCTGTATAATAATTTGGGAAGAGCTGTATTTTTCTTGGAAACTATATAATAATTTGGAAAAATGTGTGTTTTATTTGAATAACGAGCACAGAATTAAAATTATACACTGAGTAGGATAATTGTGTACAATAGCTACAGACAAATGTTTAGGGGGGGAGAAGAAAAACTTAAAAATATAAATAGTGGTCTTCTTTGGGAATTTTCTTCTTTCCACTTTTCCATGTTGTCCAAGTTTTTGTGAAATAAACACACATATACTTCTAATATATTTTTATATTAGAAAACAACAGTAACGAACTCCTTTAGGAAGCAAACGAATGGGACCAATTATTTTACTCTTCTACATTTCTAAAAGAAGATCCATGCTTACCAGTTCCTCCATGGTCACATTTTCCTTATACTTGTAAATCCACAATGCTAGATATTCTATCGGATCCACTGGGCGATGTTTTGCCACTTCTGCAAGACCTTGAGTTAGACATTTCCCAAGATGCTTTTGAAGATATATCGACTCCATTTCTAACTCCGAACTTCTAAAAGATGTTTTTGCATTAATGCAGGAAATTTTCGATGAAGGCACAATAAAAGTAGAATCCAGTAAGGCCAACAAAGCATTACATTCTGTCACCAGTCATGGGCACCTCACATCATGATGGCACAAGCAAGCTGGCTCCTAACGGTTTCTAAAACAAGGCTCCACAGAAGTCACTACAGCTGAAATAGTTTCAAAATCCAGAAGAGCCCTCAAGTCCAAGAGCGGAAGAGGGATACTGTCTTTATTGATTGTGAGAGGACTATATGCCACACAATGCATGTCTCACCTAATCCTCACAACATACCTGAAGAATGGATGTCATTTTTCAGATGAGGAATCCCAGGCACAAAAGCATAAGTGAACAGTCTAGGATCACACAGGTGGCACATGGGAGAGGTGGGATTCATACCCAACTCCTGAGTCCAGAGTCGTCACCCTAATGTCTGTACTAACATGTTCCTCCCAAGCCATGGGAATCATTTCTAGAAAACATCACAACAGTCCACCTCAAAAAAAAAAAAAAAAAAAAAAAAAAAAAAAAAAAAAAAAGTTCATGAATCGCCAAGTCCAAAAAATAAAAAAATTTAAACTTTCAAAGAATACCACATGAGGCTCCTGACACTTCCAAAGCTCAACTCCAGACAACTCTTCTGCTCCCACATACCCTGGGCTCTAGCTACATTGAACATCCTGCCATTCTGCTCGTCACATCCTGCACATTTCCATCTTCACGACTTTTGTACATGGTGATGCCTCCCTCTCCCTCAGTGTGGACAGTATCTCCTCACCTGCAAGATATAGGTCACCTCTCCTTCCCTAAGCTTCCCCAGCAATGCAAACATTCCTCCTTCACCAAGCAGATCACACACTTGTCACACTGAGAACTGTCTGTAATACACCTGTCTGTCCTCCCACCAAATGACAAGCTCCTCTAGCTCCTCCAAGAGTGTCTGAGTCACAGGGTGACATAGTCAGTTCTCCATCTTGGCAAAAGAATGAATTCTCTACTCTCCCAGATTATCAATTATGAAGATGGACAGGAATAACCTTAAACCAGATATTTTTAAAAGAAAGAAATATAGCAACCATTACATCTCAGATGCTATGAAAAAACTGATCATTCTCAAATTATCCTTATGGAATCCAGACTCTGCTGGATATATATAAAATGTTATTTTTCAATTATAATTGACATTCAATATTATTTTATATTAGTTTCAGGTATACTGCATAATGATTAGACAATTATATAATTTACAAAGTGTTCCCACAGTGACTCTAGTACCCATCTGGCATCATACATAGTTATTAAATATTATTGGCTGTATTCCCCATGATGTATTTTGCATTCCTGTGACTATTTTGTAATTGCTAATTTTTACTTCTTAATTCCCTCCCCTCTGGCATATCTATATTTATCTATATACACTAAGTGGCCAGATTATTGTGATCTCTGAATGCATAATAATCTGGCCACTCAGTGTATTTCTCTTGAGCACCTCATTTATTAGATATCAAAGATACTATAATATAAAGCGTGCACCTGATCAGGTTTCCCCTTTGCACTGGCTGATAGAAAGCTCAAGGCAAATAGGTGGTTGGTCTCCAGCAAAAGTCTAGAATATTTTTGATACCCATTTGAGATACAAATACACTGAGTGAGTGGCCAGATTATTATGCACTCAGAGATCATAACAATCTGACCACTCAGTGTACATAGATATATATCTATAGTTATCTATATCTATATGTCTATATCTATATCTATACATACAGATACTGATTACCTACTATATGTCAGGCATGAGTATTTTAGCGGATAGAATACCAGTGTATCTAGACCGTCCCTGAACAAAACCACCTAACATTTTACAAAAATGTTTTCAAATTACTAAAGGGTATAATAATAAGTAAAGTAAGTTCAAACAGAGAAAAACAAATATCATATGGTTTCACTTACATGTGGAATCTAAAAACAAAAACAGACTCATAGAAACAGAGATCAAACTGATGGTTACCAGATGAGAGTAGGAGGGACAGATGAAAAAGGTGGAGAACATAGTCAATACTATTGTGATAACTTTGCACCATGGCCGATGACTTAGTGTGGTGATCACAGTGCAAGGTATGTAAATGCTGAGTTACTCTGTCATACACCTGGAGTTAATAGAATATTGTATTTCAACTATACTTAATTTAAAAAAAAATGACCTCCTGATATTGGTCTGTAGACTCCAATACTGCTCTCCCTCACACTATGGTGGTGAGAGTACAAAATGGTATAATCCCTAAGAAGAGGAATTGGGCAACATCTACAAAGTTACACATGTTATTATTTACCCTTTGCCCATCCAGTCTCACTTCTAGAATCCCTGCTTACAAAAAGATGAAGTCAAATATGCACAGGGTTATTTTGCACCAGTACTTAGAATGCCCAAACTGGAATCCCATCCAAAGGTCATCATCAAGGGATTGGTGAGATCAGCCACGCAATGGGTGACTAAAAGGAAAGGAGGAATCTCTAGGACACGGTGTGAAAAGAAAAGAAAAACAAGGTGGAGAAAGTGTATGCCACCTTTTATATTAGCAGCCACGTGGAGGAAAGAATGAGCATGCGTGTGTAGGTCAATGGAATAAAAAAAAATAAAAATAAATAAAAAAAACCTAAAACTCTGACTGACATTGGTATCTTAACCACACAGAGAAGAGACTTATCACAACTGAATTTGAAACACGGTATCTTCACTGTATTCCTTCAATGGGATAGACTCTAAAAACAAAAATAACTACATTGACATCTCAGTATCATTGGAAGTGGAGTAAGATCAAATAGGGGGGAGGGGGGATTCTTGCTGCTGTTCCATACAGATAACACACAGGAAGGGGGCCGGGACCCTAATGGGGAAAACCTCTGGCCCCAGAGCGGCCCCGCTGAGGGTCACTCTCAGATTGGTGGGCGCATCGCACAGGAGAGGACCCAGGTGAGCCTCCTGTCCCTGAAATCGCGATAACGCCCATCTCACCAAGGCTGTTTTAAGGAATGTTATTTCTCATATAAGAAAGCCCCTTCCCACAGCACCAGCCGCGTGGAAGCATTAGAATGAGAAACAGAAAAAGGTCCCTGGCCCGCTGCGGGGGAAGGGAGGAGGAGGGGAAGGGAGCCGGCTCAGTGGGAAAGGGGGGATTCGGGCAGGTCGTCAGATTGAGCCAATCTGCACACAGAGGCCCAGTTAAATTTGGATTTCAGATACACAACGACTGGTGTTTATTATGTTCCACTTGTACTCAGAGACCATGCCTTGTTTCTCTGACATGCAAGTTTAACTGGGAGTCCTGTAGGCATCAGGCCACCTGGATGCGGCCCTCGGGGACCTTTGCCGTCGGGGCCCTCGAAGCGCCCCCGCCCCCACCGGCCCGGCCGCTCCTCGCTGCGGAGGAGGAGGAGGGGGAGGCCCCCGGAGCGGCGCCGAGCCCGGGGCGCCGCACTAACCCCGCTGGGCCCCGGGAGCCCGGAGCCTACACCACCGCCGGGTCCACCCAACCGCCGCGCAGCCCGACCCGCCGAGCACCGGACACCCACTGCGCCTGCGCTCTCCGGCCGCTCTCCCCACGTGGTCCCCAAGTCGCGTCCCGTCGCTAGGCAACAAGCGAAAGCGCTTTGTGTGTGAAGGAGGCGCAACGCAAACTGGAAACGAAGCACTGCTGGGTGAACAGAACGCGTCGGGGGTCAGGGTCGGGGGTCGGGGTCGGGGGTCAGGGTCGGGGGTCGGGGTCGGAGGTCGGGGTCGGGGGTCGGGGGCAGGGGATCAGAGGCCAAGAGGAGGGGGCGCTGGGGTGGAGCAGAGACTTGCTCTTGAGAGGACCGGGCTGCCCGAGAGAGGAAGGAGCGGGGCGGGGCGGCCCGCGCGCACCGGGAGAGAGAAAGGGGCAGCGGACTCCCGGGAGGGAGGGAGGCTCCAAAGGCTACCAGGGTGTGAAAGGCAGGGAACAGCCTACACCTCCCCCGGCCCCAGGACGCCTGGCCAGAGGAGACAATCGCTACAAGCTCAATGGTCCTGCCTTTTCACGACTTGGAACCTTTGCACCTGCTGCCAACCTCTGCCTAGTTCCTTTCAGAACCAGCTCAGGTGCCCTCACCTCCGGAATCCATAGCGGCCTCTGACTCAGCCAGAATGTCTGGTGTGCGGGCAGTGCTGTGCAGGAGAAACCTCACTGAACACTGGCTGAGGTCATCGGTGCCTGAGTGGGCACTGACCGGTGGAAGGGAGCACGAGCTCTTGCTTAGGCCCACAAGCGGCAGAGTCCTAATGTTTCCTGAGCAGCTACTGTGTGCCTGGCATTGGGAATAGTGTGTGAACCAAAACCATCTCCACGCTAATTATCCAGTCTGCTGAGTGCAAGGCCGTGAACCGGGAGAACCAGCAGCCCTGGGAAACTCTGAAAACAGCCCCCACCCAACCCCTTTGCGTGAGTGGGCCCTGAGTTCATGTGGAGTAGACTACACACAGAATCCCTTTGCCACCTTCCTCTCCAAGCCTCGCTTTGTGGTCGTTACTGTGGCAAGGCTTGGGAATTGTCAGGTCAGCAATATTTCACTGAGATCAGTGATGAACATGTGCGCTTAGGAAAGAGTCTGCCATACAGACAGGGTGGCAGCCACCGGGGACTGGGAGTGGAGAGACTTATTGGGAATGCAAACTTGGTGGTTCTACCCTCGGGGAAGGGCCTTTCTACAGTGATAAAGGCAAAGTAGATCGGTAACCACGAACCACCTGAGAATTTTGTTAAACTGTAGACAGAATCTGTAGGCCTGGGGTGGGACTTGAGAAATCTGCATTTCAATACGTCCCCAGGTGATACTGTGCTGCTGACCAGGAACCCACCCTGGAGTAGACAGGGTGTACACTGCAGAAGGTAGTTATCCACGTGCATTGGTTCCGGTGGGCCACAGGGTGCCAGAAGGAGACAACCCACCCTCCACCACTACCTCTGTGAGAGAAGAAACTTTACTCTTAAATGACCAACTTTAATTACATACATAAGTATGGGAACCCTGCACATATGAGAGAGTCAGAGACCCCTCAGACATGAGAGGTTCAAAAACAGAAATGGGAGAATGAGGTATATAAGACCACCGTGGGACTTGAGAGGAGAGGTAGGCCATTGCAGGACACTAAAAAGATCAGATGTTCAGTAATTTGAAGTTTTTCCTGCCCTCTGCATAGGTCAAACATGTTGTGGGCAAAGTCCCTAATCTAAATTCTTCTAGGTAGTTGGGGGTGTTGGTGGTGAGGAGAGTGGCACCAGGTGTTAGACTGGTGGGGTCAGACTGGACCTCAGTTCAGCAAGCTTGGAGCTTGAGTTCTGGCTAGGAAAGAATTCAGAGCCAAGACTCAAACTATAAGAGGACATTTATTTAGAAAATCACAGGAGGGTGGGCATGGAGAGGGTGGAGGAGAAAATCACAGAGGTGGAAGAAGTGAATGCTGGAACAAATAGCTCAGGAAACAAGTTCCAGAGGCAAAAGAAGGGCCCTTGGAGCTTGGGAGTGAGGAAGGTAATGGTAACTCATCTGGGGGAAGAGGTGGGGGAGGGAAATTGTGTGGGCATGGAAAGCACTAACAGCTAAGTGAGGTCCCAGGGGAGAATCGCAATAGAATATTCATCAGTTTTCCCAGGGCAGTGGTCTCCACTGATTGGTTGGTGCCAGGGTAGGAGCCATTGATTAATGCAGCTGGTCCTGAGGGCAGCGTCGCTTGTCTGGTTTGGCTGCTTTTCTGGACCTGGAGCTGAACTAGAACTGAGGTCTAGATGTAATCTCCAGGGAGGGAAGGTCAAGGAGTCCAAACCGCATGACCAGTGATATGCTAGGGGAGGAATGGCCCCCTGGGGATGAGGTCCCACCTTACCATTGTCCACTACTAGGCACCTGGGGCTTTCCACCTTGCGACCTTCTCTACCTGTCCCTTCATGCTTGCCCTGCTCATGTCTCACTGCCTACCACAGGGGGAGGGGGAGGAGGCTTCTCTGGAGCCCGATTGGTCTTGGTTGCCTTTAGCTCAAAACAATATGCACATCACAGAGGCACATCTTGGGGTGACTCCTTCTGAATACCCCAAACTTAGTGCTTCAAACACACATTTATTCTTTTACAGTTTTTGAAATCCAAAATGAGTCTCACGGGGCTAAAAACAGCGAGGCTCTAGAAGAGAATCCATCTCCTCGCCTTCTCCTGCTGCTGGAGGCAGCCCTCATTTCTCAGGGAGCTGGGTCACATCACCTGTCCTCCCTCCTCTTCCATCATCACATCTCTGTCTGACCTACTATCTCTCTTATAAAGGCCCTGTGGGTACATTGTGCCCACCTGGATAGTCCGGATAATTCCCCAAATCAAAGTCCTCAATTTACTCACATCTGCCAAGTCCTTGTCATATAAGGTAACTTATCATAGGTTTCAGGCATTAGGACTTGGACCCCTTCTGGAACTGTTATTCAGCCTGACCACACTGTGTATTTTCTAAGATCTAGTACATCTTCTTATCCATATTTCAACTACCAAAAACAGGAAATTTGACCTTGATGTAATTCTGGTATGTAAGCTACAATTTACATTCATTTACCTAATTTTCCTAACAATGTCCTTTATATAAAATTTTTTTCTGATCCAGATCCAATCCAGGAGCATGTGCTTGTTGTGATGGCTGTTTAGGCTCCTTTGATCTGGAATGGTTCCTCATCCCTTTCTTGGCTTTCATGACGTTGGCATTTTTAAGAGTTCAAGTTTGTTGTAGACTGTAGCTTAATTTGGCTTAGTTTAATGTTTCCTCGATCAGATTCAAGTTTTGCCTTTGGGACAGGAATCCACAGAAATGTGCTGTGTACCACTGAGAAGTGTATCCCATCAGGAGACATGGGCTATCACTGTTCCTTATGGATGATGTTTGTTCTGATATTTTGGTTAAGGTTTTGTTGGCCAGGTTTTATCATTGTAAAGCTTCTGTTTCCCTTTGGACTTTGTCTATAATGTGTAGGGAGAAACTTTGAGACTATATAAATATTCTGTTCTTTTTCAAATAGTTTTATTATTCATTGATGATTCTGGCTTGATTCGGTTATACTATGATGGCTATAAAATGGTGATTATTTAAAGCTCCATTATTTTTTTTCCACACTTATTAGTTGGTATTTATATGCTGTCTCTCCCATTCATTTACTTATTTACTTTTATATAGACTCATGGATCCTTATTTTATTCAGTTGTAATCCATTATGGTCATTATGTATTTTGATTATTACATTTCCTCCTATTTGGCCAGTAGCATCCCCTTTACGCTGGCTCTTGTGTCCCCAGCCATTTTTCAACATTTTTTTTTCTGGGACAACAAAATAATATCTCCAAGGAGCCCTGATTCCTTTTAAGTGGTGACAGCCATTTAAAGACAAATGAATGTTCAGTGTGCTCATTGCCACTGCGGTGGTTTTGCATCTAGGCTTTGCAGTGGGAAGAGCTATGAAATATATTTTTTCTATATTCATATCTATGTATCTAACTATATTTCCTTAAACTGTAAAGTGCCTCCAGAAAATATTAAGACTGGACCTAAGTCTTTGTTAGTCACATTATTAGTAATTCTTTTGGAGTTAAAATATATAAACTTGAGGTATACGCAGTTGGTCAGGAACAGGCGAGATGTTAGGCCATTTCATACCACAAATTTCCATGGCAAGTTTCAGGCTTAGTGCTTTATATATACTTACTAGAGGCCTGGTGCATGAAATTCATGCACTTGGTGGGGGCGGGGCGGGGGGGGCGCCTCAGCCCAGCCTGCGCCCTCTTACAGTCCTGGAGCCCTCTTGCAGTCTGTTGCACTTGCCAGCTGTGAGCCTCCCTGTGGGAGTGCACTGACCACCAGGGGGCAGCTCCTGCATTGAGTGTCTGCCCCCCTGGTGGTCAGTGCACATCATAGCAACTGGTCGTTCTGCCGTTTGGTCAATTTGCATATTAGACTTTTATTATATAGGATTATCTCACAGTTGGGAGGCACATGCCTTGTTACTCTGTTTTTCAGATGAGAAAACCAAGGATCACAGAGGCTGGTGACTTGCTGAAGACCACACAGCCAATAAATGGCAGAAGCAGGATTGGAACGTGGTATGTCCAACCCCGGAGCCTGCGTTTGTGCTGCTGCATCCCAGGACCACTCCTACCTGTGGCCCAACTCAGGCTATATTGCCTTGGCTCTTGAAATCAGTGAATCCCGGGGCACCAACCCAACCTAAAGCAGTTTCTTGCCTAAAATAGAGAGAGGAACACAGTGCCTGGCATTCCCCTCCCACTCCTCCATGATCCCTGGTGGATAAATAAGCCTGTCTTATTATGTCATAGGTGACTTCCTACCTCACAATAGCACAGCTTGCTGGGTGCTCAGAGCCCCTGTGCGGTCCCATTTCTGCTCAGTTATTTCCTCTTCATGCAGGGGTTGACATGTGGGTAAGTGGAAAGGCCTTAGCCACCCTTAGCCATCAATCAAGTTCCTGTCATGCCTGAACAGCCCAGCACCTACTATCTGACCTAGGACTTTAGGGAAAAGGCCATTTCAATGTAAGAGCTATTGGCACATATGTATTTATTGATTCTTTTGGGAGGGTGGGATCCAGAAACATCTCATATCTATCCTGAAATAAATTCTTATTGGCTAGAATGTGTCTATTTTAAAAAATAGTGTGACTCTTTTGATGTGTCCCAAGCCCACAGGATGGAAGTCGAATACCTGAAGAAGTGCTTTGGGACTTTGCTTGCCCAGGGACTGGCAGAGGTGGCGAAGGTTCGGCCCAGTGACCCCATAGAGTACCTGGCTCACTGGCTTCATCATAACAAGAAAATCATTGAAGTTCAGGAAGAGGTGTGTGCGCCCTGGATCAGCCTGAGGAGCTTTCCCAGAGTAACTTGAAATTCAAGCTGGAATTGTGCAGCTGGCTTGGGGAGTTTGGGGTTTCTCAGTTTGTGATGGTGGCTTAGGCCCCAATATCCAGAATCTCAGGGAGTCCAGCTCACAGTGATGGAGCTGGTGGGTCTGGAGCCACCACCAGGCTAACTGATCCAGGAGCAGGCACGAAAGCCGTGGAGGGCTGGAGGGGTGGAGGCCAATCCCAGGGAGAGGGGCCCCCTTGTGCATGCCTCCCAAGGGCTGATGTGATTTCCTGTCACATTTCCCCAGGGCAGGCAGGAGAAGATCCAGCTGAAGGAGGAATATGAAAATAGCCTCAAGGAAACCCGAATGACAGAAATACTGAAGCAAGAAGAGTATCAGATTCAACAGGAGTTTGAAAAGTGTCACCAGGTAGGGAGATGGGACTCAGCACTGGGCACACATCCCAGAGCCGGTACCAGGAATCCACTGTCAGCCTGGCCACGGCACAAGGCAGGCTGAGGCCCCCACAGCCTACTTTTCCCTCCTGCTTATAATCCAGTCTATTGACAACCTTTGTCAATAAGATCATTATCAGTGGAAAAAGAAAATGTTTAAAGGCAATTCCATTTTTAGATTTCAGGAAATACCTTAGATGTTACTGGTTTAAAAGAAATTTTTTAAAATCTGATATGTCACTTGGAACAAATATGTTTTTTATACAAGATCCTTTGAGCCCTTTTCAAAAAATATTTATTTTTATTTTTTAAATATATTTTTATTGATTTCAGAGAGGAAGGGAGAGAGAGAGAAACATCAATGATGAGAATAATTGATTGGCTGCCTCCTGCACGCCCCCCATTGGGGGTCGAGTCTGCAACTCCAGGCATGTGCCCTTGACCAGAATCAAACCCAGGACCCCTTGGTCCTCAGGCCAAAGCTCTATCCACTGAGCCGAACCAGCCAGGGCATTTTTCAATAATTATTAAATATTTTTCAGAAACCAAATATGGTTACCATTATATACTTTAGGTATATTCTTTTATTTATACTATTGACTTGAATGTCTCCTTTATTACATACTATTTATTTATGATCAAGCCACAGATGCCACCTCTGTGATGCAGTAATGGGAGTCATAAATTCATAACTTGGAGTAATTGGACAAGTATATCTTTCATCTCCATAATTTTTTGCCACAATCTTCTGGAAAATGCGATGTTTTCTGCAAAGTATATGATACCCAGATAGAAAATTGACTTATTGGACTTGATACCTGACAACTTTATAACTATGTTATATCCCATGCATTAAAACCTTTATACAATTAACTAGCTTTTGCTACCTTCCAAAGTCCGCTTTGGAAACATGAAAATATTAAGCTTATTTACATTTATACAATATGCTCAGCTTTCCTCACAAACAATTAATAGGTGTTTTTTTAAAGTCTAGCCCTGGCCACTGTGGTTCAGTTGGCTGAGCACCATCCCAGGCACAGAAGGGTCACTGGTTTCAATTCCCAATCAGGGCACATACCCAGGTTGTGTGTTTGATCCCTGATTGGGGCCATCTGGGAGGCAATCAATCAATGTTTAGTTTTGTTCTGTGGGCAGTTAGATTATTGCTGAATCATCTTATCCTATCAGCTTTTTGTTTTATGCTTTGCTAGGGCAAGTCTGTTTCCATTTCATTCTTAGTCTTGCACATGAAAATGGCAGTATTGTGTTCTTGCCATACCAAGTGTGTTTTAGTCTCTGCTAATGACTTTTTTTTTTTTTGCTTTTCTATTTAGCTACTAATGTCCGGAGCTGTTTCCACAAAGGAGACCATGTTCTTGCAGGAGAGCATAAAACCCCTTGAAAATGAGGCCTTGAAGAAGGATGGCCTGCCAGGTACCTCCAGTGTGACTCCAGAAATGCCTCAACAGATTCCTTCCTCTGATCCTCTTGGCCAGACTCCACCAGAAATAAATTACTAGGCTTTTTAGCATGAAGTGCTCCCGAGATGCATCATGGCTCTCAATCTCCATCTTAGGTTATCAGAAGGAGGATAATTCTAATGATGCTTCTCTCAAGGCTGAAGGCCAAGAACATGGCCATCCAGGAGAGCTCTTACCTAAAGATGATCATATGTGGATTAAATCCAGATTTGAGGTGTTTGTGGGGACTCTCCAGTCCAAGTCCTGTTCTATAGCCATGAATATCCCTTAATCATGTGAAAATTTGAACTAGTTATAGGATAAAATAAACTCACAATAATGATTGAGAGTAATCCAACTGATGAGCTGTTTTCCTTTTGTGTTATCATTTTTTTTTGGAGACTCGTGAAAACACAGCCATCCCATGTGTTCCTGTCTTCACTCTACTAAGCCTTGCAGTCAGGCCTCTCAGAGTGTGAGAGACATGGACGAGGGTGTACCTGTGCCACTGGCAACAACTCCAGTGTCAGGAAAACTCGAAGGTTTGAACAACTTTAAAAATTATTTCCCACCTAGATTCACTCTTTATTATCTATATGCTGATGACTTTAGGTTTATATCTTTAATCAAGATTTTTTTTTTTAACTTGACTGCCTGCTTGATATCTGTTTGGATGACCAATGGACACCTCAAAACTTAACTTACCCAAATGGAATCCCTGATATTCTCCCTGAACCAGCATCTCTCCCTTCTTCTATTTGCCCAGGTTACAAACTCTTAGTTTCATCCTTTACTCTTTTGTTTTGGTCACCCTACTTATGGCCTGTTGGCTTTCCATTTAAAATAAAACCAGAACTCAACCACTTGAGTGCCCAAACCACAATTATGTTTTACCTGGAATATTACAATCATCTGTGAACTGATCTCTCTTCTCCTGCTTGACCTTCTCCAGTCTATCCTCATCACTGAAGCCAGGATCATCTAGTAAAACATGAGTCAGATCACGTCTAATGTCTAAGGAATGGCTTCCCATCTCAGTCACAGAAAAATTCAAGACCCTTTCTATAACCTGTCAGACTCTATAAGATCTGCTTCCCCATCACTTTCACTCTCTGTATTATTCTCTCCATTTCAGACACACTCACTAAGCATGGTGTCTGCAGCTATTTCCTCAGAAGTTTCTTCTTTCCCTTCTCTCTGCTTGGAATTCTTCATCTATCCAGACCCCTCCATTTCTGCAGATTCTCTTTTCCTTCAGGTCTTTCTCAAAAGTTACCTTTTCTGTTTTTGTATTTACTTATTATTTACAAACAAGCATAATGCAGCTCATGGGCTACAGCCATCAGCTTCATGCAGGGTGAAATTAAATCTCTCTCCTGTGTGCCACATTCTTATCAATGAAGAAGATTTTCCTCAGCCACGACATCAGAGGAAATGTGGTCCAATAGTTCTGAAGTAGATCTCTTAGGCCAATAAAGGAGCTCCTCTTTGAAACCTTAGCAGGATTTGTACATTCACCCTTGGAAAATGGCCTTATTTTTTCAATGAAGCCTTTCCTGGCGCATATATATATATATAGTCCCCCAGAATGTGTACACATTTTAACAGCTAGTTTCTATTACAGTTTGAAATTGAAATGTATTTTAATAAACACTGCCATTAAAATCATTCAAAGTATGTATACATTTTTGGGGACTAGACACACACACACACACACACACACACACACATACACATCCTATCTATACTTCATATATATATATAAGATTCTATAAATTAATAGATAGATAGACAAATAGATAGATATCCTATCTATACATCCAGTATATATATACTTTATACATCTTATCTGAGCTTCCTGAATAAACATATACATCCCATAGGAACTTCCACACACACTTGATAACCGCTTCCCTGTCAGTCCCCTTCAGTAGAGTGTGAGCTCCATGAAGACGGGAATTTTATATGTATGTGTTGGCACACCAAAGGTGCCTAAAACAGTGCCAGCAAACAAGAGGTGCCAAATATCTATCGAATAACTGCGCAGGCCACACACTCATGAAGCCAACCCTGCTCCGGCTGTCCACAAGGAGCTTCTGTGGTAGGGCCTTAGGATGGACAGTTCAAATACATCAAAGGTCACACAACTACCCTCTCAAGGATAAGTGAGTTCTCCCACTGTCCTCCAGCACACACACACGCACACACACACACACACACCACACACCTCAGTAAATGCTGCCCAGGATTTCCCATGTGCCAGGATTAAGGAAAATGCTGAGAACTTTGGGACCCACTGCTGCATGTGTCCACTCTATCTCATGGGTGTGGATGGCTAGTCCAAGTCAGAGACAGATATGGGCTCCTCAGATGTGGCCTTTCCCATAACATGGACTTGGGAAGAAGAGCAGGTGTGGACGTGACACTATGGAGCGCCTGTGCGAAGGACAGACAGGTTGATGCCACAAGAGAGGGCAGCCTTGGGCCACTGCCCCTACCCCTGAGCCCCAAGGAAGTCTAAATCCCAGCCTAACCCAATGCCAACACAGAGAATAAAGTTCACTGTATGCCATCTAAAGGGGCTTCAGAAGATTTGAATTTCAACTCTGAAAATGGTAAACTGTTCATTCCTGAGTTTATTTTGAATATCTGACATCCTGTGGGAGATACTCTTGGACATTAGGAGATAACAATGCTTGGCTTAGGAGGGCATCATTTTGGTAAATTTTTGTGTGTGTGTGTGTGTGTGTGTGTGTGTGTGTGTGTGTGTGTGCCGCGCCAGCACAGCCAAGGGTCTGGCAAGCCTGAGGAAGGGTGGTGAAGGATGGAGAAAAAAGAGAATAAGCTGGGTCTAGGTGGATCTTCTATGCCTGGCTGAGTCCACAGAACAGATCCAGAGTGCAAAGCTGATGCTTTTTATAGTCAGGGACAAACAAAGTAATCTACAATGTTTTTTAAATTTCAGTTGTTTTGGCAGCACTTGCTGCCCCTCCCACAGCCCACTAGCTACCCAGGAAAGATCTAGGGAGCAGTTACTATATAATTGTTCAAAGATCTTTAAGAAATTGGAGTACAAATATATAAAGATCTACTACAACTCAACAACAACAAAAATAATCCAATTTAAAAAATGGGCAGAGGACCTGAACAGACACTTCTCCCAAAAAGGCATACAATTGGCCAACAAATATTTGAAAAGATGTCCCAACTTCATTAGCTTAAATGAAAATGCAAATAAAAGCCTCAATGAGATACCACCTCACACCTGTTAAAATGGCTATTATCAACAAGACAAAAAATAAGTGTTGGAGAGGTTGTAGAGAAAAAGGAACCCTCGTACACTGACGTTGGGAGTGTGGATTGGTCTCGCCACTGTGGAAAACAGTATGGAGGCTCTTCAAAACATTAAGAATAGCCGAAACCGTGCTGGCACCAGTTTGGCTCAGTGGATAGAGCGTCGGCTTGCAGACTGAAAGGTCCCGGGTTCGATTCCGGTCAAGGGCATGTACCTTGGTTGCGGGCACATCCCCAGTAGGGGGTGTGCAGGAGGCAGCTGGTCAATGACTCTCTCTCATCGATGTTTCTAACTCTCTATCCCTCTCTCTTCCTCTCTGTGAAAAATCAATAAAATATATTAAAAAAAAAAAATAGCCGAAACCGGTTTGGCTCAGTGGATAGAGAGTCGGCCTGCGGACCAGTGCTTCCTATCGATGTAGAAAACCAAGTCCTGCTGATACCACTCGAACAAGCAGTGGGTGTACGAGAGCAGCACTTCTCAAGACTTAATGGGCATCCAATCACCTGAGAGTGGGTTAAATGGCCAATTTCAAGTCACTGCATCTGGGGAGAGCCTGAGAGTCTGCATTTCCAACATGCAGATTCTACATCGTGTCCAAACTGCTGGTTCAAGACCACACCTGGAGGGATCCAAGATGGCTGCGCCCAGGTAAACACCCAGCCGCAGCCGCACACAACAATTTCAATAAAATACAACTAAAATATAAAACGGACATTACCCAGAACTACAGGAAAGTTGACTGACTGGAAATCCTACAGCGAGAAGCAAGGAGAAAACCAGAGGGAAGCGTGAAGGAGCTGGAAAAGCCCAAGGTACGGAGACACGGCGCTCGGAGAGGACGGAGCCAGAGAGGAGGGGGAGGTGGAGTGCCTGGCGGGCATTCCCTAGCGGGAAGGAGATAAAACTCCAACTGTGCTGGGCCCCCTACTGCTCTGAACCCCAGTTCTGGGCCAGAACCCGGGGACTCAGGCGCAGCCATAGGGAGCTGGGCTGTAAGGCGGAACCCCGGGGAAGCGGCGAAAGGAGGTCCCAGAGACGCGCACACTGCGCGCAGAGAAGGGACAGGTCGGCTGTGCCGCGGGATTGCCCTGGCCAGAAGGAGACTGGGGTTCCGGACTGCTCTGAACGCCATCTCTAACTCCACTTCCGACTGAACTGAACCCCAATACTGGGCTCATTGGGGGAGAGCATAGACTGTTTGGCAGCACACGAAAATCGAGGGCACCTTTCTCTCAGAGGCGCTGGCAGCGACCACTGAAGGACCCACATAGGGCAGGGCTGACGGAAGCCAAAGCTGCAGGCTCTACCCTGAAACTCCGTCCCATCTGTAACTGCGAAATGCGACAACAAAATAGATCACAAACGAAAGAAATGGAGGACAAAAAGCATCTGGATATAGAGTTCAAATCTACGCTTATAAGGTTTTTCAAGAATTTCCTAGAAAAGATGGATAAGACCTATGAGGATATGAAAAGAGATCAACTAGAATTAATAAGGAGTTAACAAGAAATGATAAGGGATCAACAAGAAATAAAGAATACATTATCTGAAATAAAAAATATTTTACAGAGTCCTAAAAACAGAAGGGAAGATAGCAAGAATCAAGTCAAAGATTTGGAACATAAAGAGCCAGAAGACACTCCTCCACAGAAGCTAGAAGGCAAGAGAATCCAGAAAATTGAAGATAATGTAAGAAACGTCTGGGACAATTTCAAGCGAACCAACATCAGAATTATGGGGGTCCCAGAAGATGAGAGAGAGC